AAAAAGAGAGGTGAATAACTAAATATTGAAACTGACACGCAAACGCCAGTCATCTGATCAGCACCATGTGATGAACAGAGGGCCAATGCACACACAGTCCAAATTCACTGTAAGTGTATAATACATAACACATGTTATATAGCCCTCGTTGTTGAAAAGAGTGGTAATTGGTAACTAATCTGTTGCAGCAAACCACGGATACTTCCACCACCTTGGCATGATTTATAAAGTGGAGGTACCCGTAGGATTTCTGCAGGAGTATCATATAAAGCACTGGACTAACCCTACATATACGTAATTGTTGCATTGCACTAACCCCGTTTCTGTGAAGCTATAAATAGCAATATTTATCATAATTACGAATTTACTGAGTATACTGTAACATCGCGAAATTGGTAAGGTTTTAATGAACATTATAAGTATGTTATACACAAACAATCAGAATTTTAATGAAGTATTTTTATTAAACATTTGTTTGTGAAGCTACGAAACCACTTTGACTCAAAGTACGGTCCAATCTGAGTGCAAGGTAATTTTTATCTTAAGAATGAAATATTCTTTTTTTCATCTTACAGATTTCATATTTCATTTGCATAACCGCTAGAATCTCATAAATGTTATAATGTTCTGAGACCATAATCGTCGCTAGGTTCTTAAAGATTCGGGCTCGTAGGCGCGAGAATTTTCGGCGTTCTATTATGATATCGATCATGGTTCTTTATTTTGATCTTTCAAGACACCAACTAAGAATTCGGGACACTGTCAAATGGAATCGGGTCCCGTGTGTCAGTGCTTAGCTACGCTTCTGCCTAAGACTTGTATATTTGAACTGGCTTTTTCACTAGCTACAAATGGTTTAAATATACTTCCTTAGCTGGTCGATCCGATATGCACAATACAAAATAATAGAAACGAGGCCAGATAATTCAAAACGTGTCATCAAAATGAGCTAGACTCGTAGAAAAGTCAGCAAATGAAATTCTGATCATGTTATTATGGACAACTATCGCAAGGAATTACCCAGAAGCCCGATTGAATGTTTGGGCAAAAAGAACCCTAAACAGTAAAGATTCACCTCAAACAACACTTTAATACCTTTACTATTGACTGCTAAGACTGTACACATATAAAAACGCACAGAAAGGCACGCATGTTAGATTTACAAGAAAAAAAACTCTGCTCAAACCGACCCCTTTGGAATTCTTATTATCCTCTTGTCAGCCTGCAACAAAAACGGCTAGGTATACTGCACCCAAACCTTTTGTAGAATACTAAACAAGGTACTGCGAAGGTCGAAGGGGTATTGAAAAATAGATTTGTTTCTTCTCTATCTTACATAAGCTAAAAAAATATCATAATTCCAGTGTAAACGATGTTATCATTACCCTTTGAAGTTACCTTTCTTACAAATATCGGGTGTTCCTTTAAAGAGCTTAAGTACATGGTGAAACAGGAATTACCAGCCAGTAATAGATGAACATTAGATGACTGTAACATGCAAACACTCAATGATTTGTACACCATACAATCGGTGTCTTTATTATGTATGAAGTGAAAGAGTAAAAACAAACAAACAATCAATCCACATAATATTAAAATTTATTGCACATATTCGTAGAATAATTACTTTAAAAGATATGAAGGTTTATTTAAAGCGATGTGTTTAGACGTATATGTTTTATTCGAAAAGGCTACTTTTCTACTGGTAAAATTTTAAATGTGCTCAATGGGGGTTATGTCTTAGTCTTGGAATATATTTGCTCATTGTTATGCTTTATATATATGGAGAATTTAGTTACCCAGAAACTATAAATGCTCAATATATTCTCAAACAAATCTCTATGAGAATCTTCAGCTGCAGCTTAATATTTTATATCTCGAACTAATGCGATCAAATAGCCAATAGCTACAGTAAATCATAATGACCCGTATCAGCTAGCTACTAGTAGTTATGTTTGTTATTATTACAATGTATAAAGTTAGCTACCATATCAAGTAATCCTTTACACATAGTTGAGCATAAACAGCCAGCAAACAAGATAAATATAAAATTGAGAATTTTAAAACCTGTAAGTAGTAAGCAAACAAGGCTGGAGATATTGTAGACATTAATTACTCAAACTACCAATCCCTATTTTGAATCCACCAAATGTAACTAGATAACAGCATGGAACCAAAATAAAGGTTTGTAGTTTGAGTAAATAATGTCTACAGTATCTCCAGCCTTGTTTGCTTACTTTTTTTACGATCCTTATTCGCAGGTTTTTAAATTTCCATTTTTTATTTATCTTTTTGGTTATAAATATTCCAACATGAAATATCAGAGAGGATAAGTGACATTTTTGAAAGATAGAAGGTTTGTTTTTAAAGCAAAGCTACATTTGACTATTTGCTGGGTCCAGTGCGGGGAATCGAACCCAGATTTGAGCATTGTAAATTTGTAGACCTACAGCTGTCCCACTGGGGAAAATGATAGAAGTAAGCAAACTACCAATCCCTATTTTGAGTCCACCAAATGTAACAGCATATATCTCAGTAAAGCAACAAGCTTGGAGGCTATAGTATGTGTGTCTGTGTAACTGTGCTAAATTCATAGGATCATATAGGGTTAGAAAGAAAAGCTAAAATGTGCAATTTGAAGCCAATAGGTATCACGTGATACAGAGAAGTGAAGACATTAAATCTATAAAAGATTAAAATTTTAATTGTGAACTGCATTTTGATGCCAAGTTTAATGATATATATATTGATAATAAAGTTATTTAATTAAGTTTTGAATGTTACTCTGTTAAAAGGTCGTGATATGCGCACTTTGATCCCTTATCCTACTACACACGTAGTTATTCTACCAAGTGTTTCAAGTATTAATCAAGTCGTGCTGGACCAACAGATAGAACAGTTATATGATCTGCAGTCTACATGGCTATGAGATCAAGAACCGAAAAAGTTGGCAATTTTTACTTTCTAAGTCTTCGACTGGAATTCCACAATATAATTTTTTCAAATGTTATAAGAACCATTCCATCACCATCTCACAACCGCAGATGGTGTACCATGGAGAAAACTCAATTCTGACTTTTCGTGGATGTCACCTGTGTTTCATTCTGTTATTGAACTGATAGTGTAACATTGAAAACACCCAATTTTGAATTTATGTGAATGATATCTTTGGTTATGCAATTATTTAATTGAAGGCGTACTAGAACTCTTAGTTTGACTTTACTGAATGCCTGAGTTGATGTTGTAGCATGGAGAATACTTAATTTGGACTTTACGTGAACGTCACCTGTATGCTATTCAGTTATTGAATTGATGATGTACAGATTGAGAACACTTAATTTGGACTTTAGTTAATATTACCTGTATGCAATACAGTTATTGAATTGATGATGTACAGATTGAGAACACTTAATTTGGACTTTAGTTAATGTTACCTGTATGCAATACAGTTATTAAATTGATAATGAATCATGGATACATTTAATTCTGAACTTATGTGAATGTCATCAGTGTGATATAAAGTTATATATTTAAAAAATACCTCTATGCACAAATACACTAAGACGTAGAGAAATGAAGAGTACGTACAGTAAATATTGACCAAAAAGGAAAGAGAGAAGAATTGCAAGAGAGGTATAAATGATACTAGAGAACAGTGCTCTCTCCTTGTGTGATTGTAACATTCCCTAATTATGATTTCTGCCAGAGAAAAGTAAAGAATGACTGTGTTTATTTTCTGTCTTTATCCTCTCGTGTAATACAGCAGGGTGTTTAGGTGTCATGGTTAGTTATTTTTTATTTATCTCAACTGAGTGTGAATTGTTACCCCGTTATTAATGTATTTTTTTGCTGTGATATGTGTATCAACAGGTTTTATAAAAGATTCAATTGGAGATGTTTTAAGATATTTTGTTATGTAATGTCTACACTTTGTATATATGGTGTGAGACCTTTTAATCTAGAAGCAACGTATTCAAATATCTTCAGAATAAGACAATATTTCGGTGGGTACATAACTGTGGTCCACCCTGTGTAAGATGATTCATTATGTTGTACAATCTGTAACAAAGGTTCTTGAAATCTCGAGAAGATTCGCAAGGTTTTAATATAGCTTACTATACATAGTTCAAAGGTAGAGGTTTTAGAAAGTAATATGTTTTGATGGAGGAGGATTTATTTTTAATTTAATATTATTGTTAAGATGAATGTAATTAGTGTATAGTTTTGTTGAGAACATTTCAAGTGGTTATTGTCGAGAAGTTATTAGGATATGTATTATTCAAAAAGTATCAGGATCGTAATTGTATAAAGATAGAATTAACTCTCGGATTTTTATGTCATTGGTTATTAGAGATTAATATTGGCAGCACACCTGAGATAAGCTACTGGGTTTGTAAAGCTAATAATTTGATTATTGACATTTTCTGGTTGGAAGTGTCTATAAGGTGTTTTAAGTAAAGAAATTTGAGATGCTATTATTTAGTTGTTTAAAACATTTCATAATTAGTAAAGTTGTGGAGTTTCGTTTATAAAGAGTCTTAGCTTCGTAAGATCATAGTTAGTAAAATTGTGGAATTTTGTTTATAAAGAGTTTTAGCTTCGTAGGATCATAGTTAGTGAAATTGTGGAATTTTAGCTTCGTAGGACAGTGAAGCTTTGTTCACATCACGAAAGTGTTATATATCATTTATGTATTTTTAAGTATAAGCAATGAAAAACACAGAATTTTATTGTCGCTAGTAGAGGCAGTAGTGTAGTTTGAGGTTCAGGAGTATTTGTTTATGGTCCTTAAAGCTTGAACATCCATGTAAAGAACAGTCATGGATGTAATAATTTTACTGTATTATAAAATAACGTTAGAGATATTCGTAAATCGTATTTAGTGAGTACGAGTTGTTTGTATTGACAACATTTTACTAAGTCTGATTTAAATCTAATATAAAAAAATCCACTAAAGTACGAATATTATGAACGAAAAAACACCTAATAAGTCAATATCATTTAATTCGTGAATGCATCTTTATTGTTTTCTAAACTTAAACCTTCCTTGAATACAGGCAGAGATTAAATTCACGTTTTCTTTTCAAGAAAACTCAACATAGTCCAATAGGAATAAAATACTGAAATGAAATACAGCTACACAATTTCAATAACTATGCAATTATAATGAAGCAAAGAAAAGTCGCATTAGGAACATAGAACATTTCCATTATTTAATCAGGCAATCATTCGTTTACTTAAGTAACATTTGGTTCTTAGAAACACTGAAAGAAATCCACATTTTCGTGACTGATTGGTCAAATATTTGTAGTGAATGCTATGAAGCTAGTAACATATCTCCTCTTTAGCTCACTAATCGCTACGTCTCTAGCGATATTTTTTGAATTGAAAGTTCCATGTTTTGAGGTATGGTATGTTTCATTGTTTCATTGTACTTGTTTGTTTCTGAATTTCAGATAAACTGTACAAAGAGATATTCATCTCCGCTATTTGATTTGACAGACTAAACAGAAAGTATCTACTCAACAACATCCACTGCCATTTCTTGTGTGACGTAATAGTTGGATTTCATCGTCAATCTTAGAGCGCATACATGACTCCGATCTGAGGAGCTCGTTATGTCGCAATAACCGGACGTGAACCATGAATCCTCGGATTCACAAACAATCTGGGCATACTAACTACTAAGACACGTCCGGCCCGTTTCATAATAAGTAAATAATTGCTGCTTAGAAGTGATGCACTCTAACCATTCTGTACTTAAATTTTTTTTGGCTCATCTAGATTATTGTTAGCTAAGTATTTGTTTTTTATTTTCCTTTCATATAGTAGTATGGAAGACAAATCACCAAATAAACTGAAAACGTTGCCAACAAAATGTCAGGTTTTCTTCCCAATGAAAACGTTAAAAATTCATTTCTCCATATTCCAGCTTATCTTATCCGGTAGTGTCTAATTCTGTTAGAAAATATTTGTTTGTTAAAGGTAAGCTTCTCTCAAGCAATTTTTTCCTATTCATTCAATTTCCACTTAAAAGTTCGTCCTCTCCTTGTCATTATATACTTATCAGGTACCAAAGCTGTATTATCATCAGGAATTAACCAGAACTCTGATATTTCATGTGGAGAGTAACGGTTATTTTCATAACAGAGACTTAAAATCATTCTTATAGCTTCTCCATAGTGGCCACGTCATTTGATTACCTGTTACTTACTGTCTGAATCTATGATCAAGAAAAATATGCGTATCTTAAAGGAAATAAATAAAGTTAGCAAAAATTTAAAATTCTGAAAATTTTAAAAAATATAACAAATTTTACTTTCGATTTTTTATTGTAAATTGAAAAAAATATATTTTTGTCGAATTTCGTTTTTTCTTCTTGAGTTGTTATTTGCATGCAAAAAAGAACTACTTCAAAACTTTATTATGACACATTTTTAGCTAATTAAAAGCCTTAAATAATTATAATAATCAAAATATTTCCTTGACCACTTTGTGGGTAGTTTCTTCCATTAAAAAACAATATACGAGTTGCCAACATATAAAGTTCTGTGGGTTTAGGTTTTTGCACTAGATGGCAGCATCACCTATTTGGTAACAGTATCGTTTGTTTGTAAAGTTAAGCACAAAGCTACACAATGGGCTATCTGTGCTCTGCCCATCACGGGTATCGAAACCTGGTTTCTTGCGTTGTAAGTTCACAGACATACCGCTATGCCACCGGGGGGCTGATAACAGTCAAATGAACCCAAAAATTATTAATCTCAAAATCTGACAAGAATACGTTACGTTACACTTATTGTACAAAACGTATTTATTTGTTTGTTTTGAATTTGGCGCAAAGCTACATGAGGGCTATCTACGCTAGCCGTCCCTAATTTAGCAGTGTAAGACTAGAGGGAAGGCAGCTAGTCATGTACAAAGGTAGCTGAAATAATTGAATATATCTGTGTAAACCATATAAGTGAGATCATCGACAACTACTTAATTATACAAAATATTTTTGGCACTTTCAAATTTCCCAACATCTAGTTGTAATACTTTTCACAGTTCTATACTTTTCAAAAATTCTTAACCATAATAATATACGGAAAAGAGACCTGATAGTGAGCAACTAATTCATTATAAAGTTTGTTACAATTCAAGTTAAAGATATGCACATAATTTATGTATAACTTAACCACCCCTGTAGTTAAATTGAAAGTTAGTTATCTTTTTTCCCAAACGACTGACATCATAGGAAGTTTTTCATGTACTGTGACATAAAACAGTAGAGATTCACTGTTGGTTTAGGCAAGCGTCATGTCTAGTTGCAGTCATTGTGAGGTTATCATTAAATATAATGATAGTTTTGCTTTGTAACAACCACTGTTTTTACATCACTAAAAATTTGAAGTGATTACTTATAATAGTAAAAATGTTGCAATTTATTTTTATGTTGAGTTACTTCTAAATATTCATGGTTGAGAATGACGATTTCAAAGTAACAAAAATAAAACACATAGAATAAGGAGATATCTAACTTTCTGAGTAATCCACTTTGCTCTTTCAAATGCCACAATCTCACAAAGTGAAAATTATTTAAGCCGTTAAAATTATTTTATATTAAAAACGTCACTGAATTACAACTAACATTCTTAAAATCCGCAGGGATAAGTAGTAGCAACAAAAAAGAACGTTTTTCCTTGCATTCTTAGATGAAAATCTTGGAAGAAAAAAAAGTTTTTTCCATAAAACAAAAATAATTAAAGATATAAGGAATTATTTCGAATTTCATCTAGATGGACGTGGAATCACATTTTCAGTTGTTTAAAAATATTCTGAGATTTTCTTGAAAAAAAAAAGTAAAAATTTTCAGCAATTTTAAAATTATTTAGATTACGTAATATACATAGTGGGTCAGAAGTTACTGTACAGGTAGCATTAATCGGTTGATGCAGTTTCTGCTGTATGGTTGGTACAGTTGGTATTATATATTTGACACAGTTGGTATAGTTAATATAGATAATATTTCGTAATTGGTACAGATGGTATTATACGGTTGGTACAGATGCTGATGTACAGTTGGTACTGCACAATGTTACGAAAACAATTGAAACCATCTGAATTATTGTGTATGGTTCTATAGTTCTTAACGTAGGCTAAGTGTTGTAGTCAAACGTGCATCTATTTATACATATATATATATATATATGTGTGTATGTGTGTATATGTGTATTAAGAAGTTCTACAAAATTATTTATATTTGAGCAGTATTTTACAATTATTCTTAAAACACAGAGGAAATATTTGGGCATAATGGTGACACAGAACATGAAAACATGATGCTTCGCATTTTCATCTTGGAGGAAAATAGTCCTGCTGACAGGGTAACAGCTCTACAACAGTCTAGAAATGACGGCGTGGAGTTGGACAATCGAAGAAAGGATAAGCTTGTTTATAACATCATCCAAAAGACTGCACAGCTCAGTAGTTGAAGAAACAATGGATGGCAACCTAGAGAAAATAAGTGCTTTTATTTCAAAGTCAGAACACAAACACTTAGTATGCATATATTTATATGTATATATACACACACACACAAATGCATACAGTTACATATATAATTATACATACAGAGGTTGAATATATTATATAAAAACGAATTTGAGCCTCACTACGTCACTACTGTACATATTGACAATAACCATATAGCGTAGTTTCTACTGCAAAAAGCTTCATCGTAAGGCTGTCAAGTCCAAAGCTACCCACTTCTGTCATATATACTTTCCACAATCCATATTGAGTATGAGGATGACGGTTCCCCCAGTGTCCATTTCAACAGACAACTTGTAGAATAGTCCATAGGTGCTGCATCCGGCGATTTGACTGGTATGTCTTCACACTCAATAGCTTGAATATCGGTTTCATTCCCTAGTTGTTTGGAGTATGTAATGATTTAATAGACTGTGAGGTCCTGTTGAATTATAATGCCAGTAAAGAGATATAAGAATGCCATACTTCATTTGCAAAATGGTGTGCAGTACATGATCAATACTTGGGTTGTATGCTATCCAGGATGAACATCATGTTGCTAAAATGTTTGTCATTGCTCATTGTATGGAAGGAAATTTAATATCAGAATAATCCATGCTCCCTTGAAATGGCTTACCAAGTTCAAACAAACACATTATGTAAGAGCTTAATCGATTATGACTTTGCAAATTACTATTAAGAGATCCAGCACCATCATGCTAAGCAGCATAGGAATGCATTTGAATTCTCTAGAAACCTGTCAAAAAATGTACATTCAATCAGTGTCCAGACTATGGTTATCATGTGATCAAAAAGCCACAGTAGCAGCCGGTTTGAACCTGGCTGTATATAGTGGAGTTAGTAGTGTATGAAATCTCTACTGAACATTATTAAAGAGTTGAGAAGAAAACACAATCATCACCAAGATACGTTAAAATTAATTCATGTTGCCACATCCAGTCATGCTCTATATGATCACCATGATTTTTGACAATACTCTTCCAGTGTAATTGCCACTGCATAAGACTATCATGCCAAAAGCACACCATCACGCCCTGCTTGCTTTCCATAATGTATGAAAATGGCAATGTCCCTGTCACCTTTACCAGTATATATATTTGTAGGGAATAGTTTCAATGCCCATTGAATTTTCCAGCTGCTTTAGGGATGCAACAGTTGAACAGACATATGATGGTAACAAGCTGTGTACACGTGATTTGTGTTACTTTTCCAAATGTAGAGCCTTCTTCATTATGTTGCATACTGATGGCGGGAGCACATGGATGGCTTTTGCCACTGACCTCTTGTCTTCATGGATATTCACCTGTTACAAGAGGCCACAAAAACTTACCATGGCTGGGGTGAGACATGCTGCAGGTCATATTCCTTTGTTATCCAATGCCATTGATTACGAGGGACATTCCCATCTTGGGAATTGTAAATACAATTTTAACATATATTCATGATCTGAGTGTATCAATGCTTTGCATCAGAAACATATATTTTCCAAAGATGATCTTTTTTTTTGTAGCAGCATACTACATACATAATGACAATTATTCTCCAATGGTAGTTCTGATACATTACATTCCACTACGATTTTATATTAGTTGTTGTTGTCATGGGATGTACTTATTTATCTATTCAAAACAGTTTTAATATCGTGTACTCAATCTTCTGTATTCCAATATCTTTAACTGACATAGGAAAATGTACCTCGTATTTTGTAAACGTAATTTTGTACTTATGTTCTGTAGTTTGTGGGAAATTTTCACTGAGTTTATACAATACAATTTAGTTGGTGATCTATCCAATAACTCAAAACTATGATTATAGGATGATAGATATGCTACCACGTATTCAGTTTAAAATATTATTTTTTGATTTATTTGTTGATGTGATAAGTAATGGATTAAAGGAATGTGTAGCCAAAAGCTAATTAGCAATGTTCTATAGTATTTCGTAATGTGTAGTTCTTAGGATTATTGAGCAGGAATGATGTTTACACCATCACTACTGTAAGTGAGAGGGAGATTTACCAGGGTCATAATTATGCTTTCAATATTTAGTGGGAATTAGAAAGGTATTTTCAACTTGCCATTTTATAAGTATGTGACATCACCATAATCTATGATTCTGGAAACTGCAAGAAAGTGCCCTGCCTTACAACTATCAGTTTGGGGGATCTCATGATGGCTAACTGGCTACATGGATAGGGTGGACAGGTTGCACTGCTGATGTACAGTCAAAGTTACAAATAAATATGGTGATGGCAATTATCTTTCTAGTCCACTTTTAGTGGAGGTAGGTATAACAGAGAAGCCTTAGAAAAATACAAAGTTGTCTTTAGTCTTTTAATATTTTGTTTTCTGTTTTTCAATGATACAAGTAGGCGTCATTCACTTTAGTTATAATGGCAGCAGTTGGGAGTTTGAAAAAGCTGTTAGAACTCGACAACAAATTGAGATGGAAAGATGGACTTGGAACCTAGACTTACATTTTTAGGGTGACGAATTGTTTGTTGTATATATTAGATTGGTTAACACAAAGGTCAAAAACACTGCTCTTAGTTGCTTTCTATTTGTGATATAACTTCCAATGACTTGCTTGAAATTTCTTGTGATTTCTAAATATGTTAAAGGAAAATCAATTTGATATGTTTGAGTTGAAAGAGCTGTGATATATTGACTATCGAAACTACCCTTCAATTTTATTTATATTATAGGCAAAATTAATCATAATACTTATAGATTTTAGATTTCTATTGAAGCCTCCTTTAAGCCTTTATTTGATATTGTTGCATTTCCTTGTTACAATTGATTTCAGATTTCACAATGGTTTTGTAATTTTGTAATTTGTTTTAACTTGTTGGTGAAAGCTAAAAATAGTTCGCTTTTTCTACGCATGTTACCGTGATGTCTTGGTACTTTTAAGACTTCAGTCTCAAGCAATCCAGTTAAGTTTCAATAATGTGAAATAAGCCTAGTTTCATGCTGTTGACCAGTCGAATTTCATGCATATTTAATTTAGCGTCAAATGTAAATCTCATTGTCTATAAGTTTCTCTAACTTGATAAAAAATAAACACCGTTAAGGAAGACAGATTAATAAAGGTTGCTTATTATTGTTATATTAAACTTTGGTGTAAGTCACAACACGTTCTTCTTTGACACAAGTCATAACCTTTCCACCCTGTTCAACTATCCTTATTCCTCTTATTATACGAAAGATTAACTTAGTTGTTGGGGCTTTTCTACCAACAAATACCGCAGTATACACGCTTCCAAAAGAAAAACTAACAAATTTACACAACATTTTCCATTATGAATTAAACTGGATTGAAGCATTTTCTTACAGCATTTGTAATTGAAAAGTTCGCAAAAAAACAACAGAAAAAAAAAGCATTTATTCACATTAAACGATCTTTTCCAACTTATAAAAAGACTAGGATACTAATTCTTTTTACAAACACACATTGATTATTTAACCAAATTAACCTCGCACGTTTACAGTATTGTTTCTGTACAGCAAAAGTTATTCGAAATTCAGCGTTAAAACACTTCAATGTTTTACATTCGTTTGATAAAAAAATCGTATAAAATAACAGATATCTAAAGGAAATTTATCGTATATTTCGTTTTTCAGTTGTTGTAGCTCAAAATAAAGACTATTCGGGAAATATTCCAATATGACTTATAGCTTTATTTTTCACTTAAAATATTTCCTTATACTTCGACGTTTCGTTAAGAACTTTAGTAAATAATGGCGTTTTAGAGATTCTGTATTGCAGCTTATTGACAGAGGTGAATAACCAAAACAACCATAATTTTTTTATTTGACCTCTGAAATCATTAAATTATTTGAAATACGCAGAAAGTTAGTCACATGTAAACAAGTAGGAAATAAATATAGATTGGCGTATAGATTTATGGAGAAAACAAAGGGTTAGAATCAAGCACATAGAAAGATAAACAAACTTACTTTCAGCTCCAGCTGTCCTTCTTACCGTAATTGGATCTATAAAATAAAGACAAAGACGTTGATCATCTTGTTTACTGTATTGCAGTATGAGAAACAGAACGAAAATGTTTTAACCTCGCTATAAGAATAAGGTTTGTTTGTTTGTTGTTGAGCACAAAGCTACACAGTTGGCTATCTGTGCTGTGTCCACAACGGGTATCGAAAACCAGGTTAAGTGTAAAAGGCTGAAAATAGAGGTAGCAATTAATGACGAAAATGAATCTGTAACAAATCATATTATATGCCCTAAAATTATCAAAATTTCTTCCAAGAACTATGCTTCAAAAGGAGGAGTCCAAACTGCTTACGAAAACAAGCAAACGTGTTATGATGCAGTTGCTGTCGTATACTTGTTGCGTCAGGATTGAACCTGTATTCTATGGCAACCATAAGTCATTTCTACTTATTTCTATTCGTCATTCTGTCAAAGTAACATCTAGCGTGAGGTGGCGTCGCCATGTATATTAGCTAATGTCATAAAATGGAATCCATTAAAAAAGACGATGTTTCTGTTACAGAAGCTTTTAACAGTGAGTCTAATCGTGAAAGGATTTTTTTAAGTATTGTATTATAAGTTATAAATTTAAGAACTTAAAACTTACATACTATTAAAATGTGGATTATTAGCTACGTTTTATGCGATAAAAGATTATTATGATTTTGTTGGAAGTGAACGTGCAAGTGGATCCGAATTCCAAAGTGTTTTATTGCAGTGTTGTGTTTGCCCAAAAAGAATATTTACAATGCCAATAAGAAATCACTTTTTAATCTAAAGAAACGCATTTGTTACAAACATAAACTCGAGGATTTTGAATCGTGCATCAAGAGAGAAATGGATGTAAACAGGTCAAGTAAACAGTCAGTAAACACTGGGGAAATGAAGCAGAACAACCAACTGTTGGAGCTTTCATTGCTGCTAGTACCAGGAGGGTTAGCCAACGTAAAATAAATGCACTCATAACTGAATTGGTCATTGGGTAAATGCTTCCTTTCAAATTTGTTGAATCACAAGCCCTGAAAAATGTTATTCAGACACTACAGCCAAATAAAATAAATTTTGGTAAGAAAGCCCTAACATGCAACAATAAATTCGTCCAGAGAAGCGACTACAGCTAACTGTTGGAGCTCCCGCAACAGGTAAGTTGTAATATATTAATATTTTTCACTTTATAGATAATGAAAATTATTGTTGTTTCTCAAATTTAAAACATCTAATATTAGAATGAAACTTGAAATAAGCTTCAGATAGCATTTGCAGAGAACGTGACAGCGTACCGTTTTGCATTCACTAGTTTTGCTTTGTATTGTTAACTTTTAAAGATCCTATCTGGGCGTGACTGTGCATTGGATTGACCCAGAAAGCCTGGAGAGAGAAGGCCCGGCATGGCCAGGTGGTTAGGGCACTCGATTCGCAATCTGCGGATTCGAATCCCTGTCACACCAAACATGCTCGACCTTTCAGCCGTGAGGGCGTTATAACGTGACGGTCAATCCCACTATTCGTTGGTAAAAGAGTAGCCCAAGAGTTGGCGGTGGGTGGTGATGACTAGCTGCCTTCCCTCTAGTCTTACACTGCTAAATTAGGGACGGCTAGCGCAGATAGCCCTCGTGTAGCTTTGCGCGAAATTCAAAACAAACAAACAAACAATTAAACCTAAAATAAGGAATGCTATGTTGGTGGGTGTTTGTAGTTGAGCTTAAGCAAAAGACACAGACATGGCTACAGCAGGTATAAAACCAGAAGTAGATGAAGGCACAAGAATGAGAACATATGTAGCAATAAATGAAGGCTTAGTGGCTATGGCAGATTAGCAATTCCCTGCTGTGCAAAACACACCCACACACTCAACAAATGATATCCCATTATTTTATAGAAGAAGACAGAATAATTCTTAAATGTTGCAGAAAAACAGCCTGTATATCAGGCTTGACTGATTTACAAAAAACAGACATACTCAGACTGAGAACATCATGCCAGGCAGAGATTTATATTAGGTATATGATGATTGAAAATGGCCCCATATTTTAATTTAATAAAAAATAGACTATTGAAAGAATACTAAGGTGTGATATGGCAAAAATGATGATGAAACAGATAAACATGTTAACACAGAAAAAGGGAGAATCAGAGTATTTGAGCACAACATACAAAGAATAGGTAAAAGATTGAGATGACCATATGTGTACCCAAATGAACACATTATTCAAGTTACATTGAAATCAAATTATGTGAAAGGGTTAGGCACTAATCTAATGTGATTAAATGTAAATGAAGCAAACATCCAACAAGCAATGCTTTTAGGCTTAATAGAAGCACCTACAAGAGAAGAACATAGAGGGGAAACGAGTGTATTAACCCCAGCATTTTAAGATTAACTGTGCAATAAAAAGAAACAACATGCAATCCTGGCAAAATAGAAGCACAAGAGTAGCACTGGAGACTAAAATAAAAAATATTAAATTTTTAAATGTGGCTTACAACGACACATCTAGTAATACTAGATATTGCTTTAGGAAAGAACATAAGCAAATAAAATGTTTTAATTGCAGATTACAGGGACGTATGACTCACAAAAAGAAATTCAATAACATGCCTAGGACTGAAAATCCTAGAAGAAGGGTTGCAAAACCATTGGTAAAACAAATAATTGTAGAGATAACAAAAAATAGTTCCAGCCAGAATTACAAAAAAGAACTAGAAATAGTTCTGGCAGTAGTAGTTAACAGATCAGTGTAAAAATCGAAGGCTTATAATGTTGATTACTAGTTGACATAGGTGCTAGAACTTCTTTTAAGTGTAAAGTTAATAAAGAAAAATCGTTAGGTAATGCATGGAAAGAAGTTTTGAAAAGTATCTTAATTTTTGTTACAGGGAATCCAGTTAAAACATTAGAAAAGTATATTGTGTGCAAGTAGAAGTTGGAGGTTTAAAACTTGAACATGTATATCATATCTGTAAGTATGTAGACTAAAAGACAGATGGTATTTTAGAGAAAGCTTTCCTAAGAAATTGTTACTCTAACATATCTCTTACCACAGGTAAACTACATGTATAAATGGAAATCTTAAGTTTGGAAGGAAGCATACCTCAGACTTAACTTCTAGCTGACTCAGTTATGTAGTATGATGACAAACAGTAATGAGGCTGTTGATAAAAATTTGAGAAGTAGTAGCACTGAAATTTCTTGAAGCAATATACAACGCAGTAACAATTAGAATGGTAGTAGATTTAAATTTCTTAATGGTGAAGTGAATACAGGTACTGTAAAAATGGACAATAATAGAGAAACATAATGATATGGACCCTCAGATGACTACACCTAGAGTAGGCAACAAAGTTTTCCAAAAGGAGTGATGTTAGTACATATGTTTGTAAGATTAATCAGACTTGCAGAAATACGTGAGAGAAGTCAGGTTGTTATTGAAGCTAAAGAAGATTTTAAGTGAAATGAAAAAATACTAGTTGAGCTGATAGAAATAGATGAATGAGGTGTATATATTGCTGTACACTGAGTGGTCACAAGTAAATAGACACCTAATTTTTCGTCATTTAACTGATTTATGCT